ATGCATTTTTGCTCTCACCCCTGCAGGAATTTGTCCTTCATCTCCAGCACTTCTGCCAAAGGCTTGCCAGCCTCCAAGGCATCCAGGAGCTTTTGGGCTAAGGCCCTGTTACCTGCCAAGCCACTCCCTTGCTTCTTGATTTGCAGGACTTGCTTGCCATTTTTGATGCGAATTGCCACTGCTCCAGTGGCCTTGTAGGGCATGAGTTTGTACTCCACAGTGCCACTTGCTGGCTTCTTCTTGGTGGTCTGCACTTTTGTTGCCTTTGCAGGCTTGGTTTTTGCTTTGCAAGCAGCTGGCCTGGCCATTGTTTTTTTTCAAGGTTTGCTTTCTTGGAGGCACAGGAGAAGCAGCCTCAGCAGATTCAAGGCTTGCAGCAGCTGGAGAATCCTGTGTCTTTGGCAGTTCCATGTCCAAAATTGCAGCCAAGCCTGCAGGCTTCTCTTCATCTTTTGTCTTTTGGGGTGTGCTGCATTTCTCCTTTGGGTCTGCCTTCACAGGCAAGGATGGAATCTCATCTTGCTGCTGTGCAATGTCCCTCAGCTCTTTCAGCTTGGCAATGTGGTTACCTGGTAGCCATGTAAATTCTTGGTGGCTTCCTTGAACCTGGTCTCAGTGAGCAGCCTCCTGCAGTGGGTCATGATGGTCATGATGGACTCACTGTATTGTCCTGGGAGAGCTGCATGCTGCTCAGCTGGCCAGCTGTGCTTCAAGCCAGGGAACTTGAGCACGAGGTTGGCGAAGGCCTGCTTCAGGTCTGAGTACTTGAACATGAGGCTGGGGCACACCTGCGAGAGCTTTTGCACCAATGGCAACTGCCCTGCCAAATCAACTCCTTGAATGGCTTGTTGTTTGGTGAGGTTGTGGTAGGACTGGAAGTTGAAGGCCTGGTCCACACCTTCCTTTCTGACCATGTCCACCAGCACATCGACCAAGTGCTGCATGTCAATCTCCTCACTCTTCATTCTCCTTGGCCCTCCCTTGCAGGACATGGCTGGCTATCCAGTCAAAACTGAAGGAGCTGGCTATCCAGTCAAAAGAGCTGCAATCATTAAGACAGCATCTGGGGCTCTCCAGCCCTAAAGCACAGCTGGGGCTATCCAGCCCAATGTTAAACCCTGCTAGTGCATTACCTGGGACTCTCCAGCCCTGCAAGCACATGTATGCTGTAAATATGTATGTATGCATGTATGTATGTATGTGTATGTATGTGTGTGTGTGTATGTATGTATGTATGTATGTATGTATGTATGTATGTATGTATGTATGTAGATTTGCACACTTATGTGGTTCCAAATAGGCTCTAAAAATTCAATCGCAAAGCCTTTGAAAATTCAATCGCAAATTTTCCAAAATTCAATAACAAAACCTCTAAAATCTGTTCCTAAATTTCAATCGCATCCATGTTCCTGGAATCAAGGTTTTCTATTGAATTTTAGTTTGAAAATCAAATTTCAATCGCAGATTGCAATGCGATTGAAATTGCAAAATTTTCAATAGTGAGATTGAAATTTTTCAATCTTGGAGCCTTTGGGTCCTGCAGTAACCAAGCGAAAACAACCGACAACCAACCACAATTCAATTTACAACCGAACACAGCGAACAACGACATGAGCAACTGGCAGACACGGAAAACATCAACCGAACAACAACTGACTTACAACAACAGGCAAACCGGCCACCAGAACCTGAGCGCCCGTGCGCTGGCATGCCAAAGCCGACCCTGACTGGCCTTGCGCTGGCCCAATTCTGGTCTCGGCAACAGGCCGAGGAGCTTCTCTTCAATCGCGCCTTCTCTGGAGAGCCAGGAGAGGAGGAGGCAGAAGAAGGCAGCCACTTGGAGGAGACTTGCGTCTTCTGGCACTGCGTCGTCAAGCAAGGCTCCAGAGCAGCAGGACTAGTCAGAGGTTACAGAAGCGGAGCCTGTCTTGCAGGAAGAAGCGGAAGTGAAGCAGAGCCCGTCGTGCAGGAATGCAGGAAGAAGGCGACGCTGACTCGGACCGTGGGCCACTTGCCGGAGCGAACCCAGAACTGCTGGAGATGGGCAGTTCATGTCGGGTCGGTGCGACATGCTATGGTGGATCTGGACGCATGGCCGAGCTTCTTCGAAGACAGACATGCCGCTCACGCTGAAGGCCTTTCCAACTTCCCAAGCTCATGTCCCCGAAAGATCTGCAAACCCGAGGACATGCCGACGTGATCCGACACAGGTTTGTGCAGTTTTGGAGCCATGGCTTTTGAAGCAGCGACGCCGTGCATGCCTCCTCCTAGAGATTCTCGTCTAGTCATGGAGACCTTGCTCATGGAGATTCTGGCTCATGCTTGCGAGGGCCATTCTGATGACGAGGCAGCGAAACGTTCACTTGCAAGATTAAGTGGCTCTTCACGGAGTTATGTCGGAGACAAGTATCATAGCAGGCAATTCTTCACTTTGGTGGAATCTTTGACGTCCTTGTCCCTCCAGCGCCAGGATGCTGCAGAGTTAAGCACATGCCTGCCAGGACTTGGAGTGCCGACGCATTTCATTTTTGATGGGGTTTCGCTTGGGGCGCGAAACTTTGCCAGTCCTTGGTGGTGACTGCCTTTAAAACAGAGGAGCTTCTAGAGGCAATTTCCAGAGGTATGGTTTTCGCGGCAATGGATCTCTGATTTGTCCGCGCCAAGGTCCGCGCCAGCGTTGACGGTGCGGAGGAACTAGCGACGAAGGTACGGATCGCAGTCGGTGAATTGGCAGTGTTTGCAGGGGAGAATTTAGGCGTCGCCCAACGGGCGGAAGTCAGCGATGCAAGGATCAATATCGACGTGCCCCAGGTTCTTGACCCCCGTTCCACGATGTTCCACGGGTATTGCTCTAAGGACATCACCTTCGAGGATTTCAGTCCGAGACCTACTTCCCCCGTGGCGATGCCCCTGCACCCAGTTCGGCGCACCACAGTCGTGTCCGGCCAGTCGTGTCGGTATGTTCATTCTACCTTTTGAATCTTGTTGGCCTTCAAGTGGCCACGTTCCCATTTCTGGCACAACCTTTTCTGCGGTGTAGGAAGTTGCAGCAGATATCGAGGATGAGAGATCACACCACGGAGAAGGTCCTTGGGTAGAAGAGCGTGTGTTTGAGTAAAATTCACATTCTTCACTTGGTTCATCTTGTTACTGCGTGACTCTTTCAATGCTTACTGTGCATTGAATTAGTGTTTTTTTGAGCAAGGCTTTGCAAGGCTCGGTTGCAGCTTTTCCTTGAGGAGAGATTGCCGTGGAAGGGCCTGCAGACAAGCAGGTTGGGAGACTGTCAATTAGTTTGCTGGCTGGGGTGATGAGTGTGTGTGAAAAGACGAGAAGTGCACAAATAAAGAGGAGAATGATAGGAAAATCATCTTTCATATATTGACAACTTGCTTGTAAGAGGACTGCTACTTTCAGTTTCACATTTGGAACCGCTCGACCTGTAAGTCAGAATGCAGCTATGAAAGGGGCACGCGCAACATACAACCATATACATCAGCAGATGTCGTCTACATGGGAGCCACTGCTTGGAATTGTGATTTGAAGCTAGGATAATGACTTTATAACGGACATTTTTCTCAGCTCAAGGGTTTTAGGGCTTAAGGGTCTTAAGGTTTAATGGATTGGGAAGCTTAAGGGGTTTAGGGTTCGAGGGGGTAACAAGTAGCTGGTTTTCAGAAACTTATTCAACACACACACATATATATGTTTAAACTCTTAAACGAAACAATTTTAGTATAACATACTAAAGAATTAACTTATAATTTGTTTATGGACATGTGAAAATGAGCAAAAACAGATACATTTCTATTCTTTAAGATATTTTTAAAGAATATACATACATATATATATATATATATTAGCCCTTAAAAGTTAATAGTTTTAGTATTAAAAAACCTTTGAAAATAGATGTGATTATGGACATGTGACAAATTGATTAAATAGAACTATTCTTTTTTCTGAAAACATAAATATAGATTATTTTTTAAACGGGTCTTTTTAATGCACTCTATTTATCGACGTGTGAAAAATTGATTAAACACAAATATTCAATTTTTGTCTAAAATTAGAGATTTTAGAGTTATACATATGAACTACTTGTTTGAAGCATTGTTTGTGGATATGTGAAAAATTGTTTAAACAGAAAATATATGTGTTTAAAGTAAATCGTTCACAGCACCCCCCCCTTTATATAATTGCCCTGATATCCTGTTTCGACACTCGAGTTTTGGGATCCGGCTCGGGAAGTGTTGTTGTACAGAAACCATGTTTTTTGGGGCGGTTCCTGTCTATGAATTCTTTTGCCCGACAAATGATACTCGAGTTTTGGGATCCGGCTCGGGAAGTGTTGTTTTACAGAAACCATGTTTTTTGGGCGGTTCCTGTCTATGAATTCTTTTGCCCGACAAATGTAGATGGATTAGGCCATTGTGGCAAAAGGTTGGCCACTTTTTGCTCAATTCAATGACCCTTAATAAAAGAATGCATGCTGTTCCAGAAAATGTCACTGCTGGTGTTTGAGTTACATGTTTTGTGGCTTGAAGACTGTACTTGACCCGTATTCCAGACCCCACCGTACTTTTTTGAAGTTGTTTTGCCTTCGGTCACTTGGACGAGGGTGACCCTTAAGACGGTTGCGTGAAGATGCCTTTGAGGGTTGCAGGTGTTCATTTCTATTTCATTTCTGAGTGACCTACAGGGAATGATGCCTTCTTGAATTGAAACACCCATGGGGTGACTGAAACACTGGTCGTTTCCCTCCTACTTTTCCTAAGACCAGACACGTCGCTGTCATTCGTTGTCTCTATAGTTTATGTTTCGTCAAAATATAAATTTTATAGAGGAAATACTACATAATTATCACGAATCATACCAACTTCCCACATTTGACAATTCAGCTGGTTCATGTCAGGGACGTCAAAGTTGCCCATGGAGAGTTCCAGTCGCACTGGCCATGGGAACACCTCTCTCGGTACATGTTTTGGTCGTACAGCCTTCAGGCGAGTAGCGCTGTGAACGCCTGCACACGTGCCAGTGAATGGTGGACAGCGCTGCAGTTGGCGAACGACATCTTCTTGGGGGAGAAAGGCGGACGTTGGGAGTCCTCTGACCGGATGAGGTTTGTGGGGGGAGGTACAGTATGGGGAGGTCCAGTTTTTTCCCAAACCGGAGGACCCCATGGACCTATACAGACCTATGTTCATACCTACCATACATAGCCAGACCGTCCATGTATGGAAGGTTTACCTATACAATACATTGACCCTTAAAACATCTTAAATCATCCCAATGTATGCAATAATCCTTCAAGTATTCCGATATACATATTATATATATACCATTATATACCTATACCGAGGATAATTCCATGGGTAGGACGGGTAGGTCCCCAAATATGTATAGATATACATGTATACATGCTGACCTTTGTTCGCATCCAACCTTCAAGCCCACCCGGCTTGTCCAGACGCGTAGGCCTCCGGCGCCTCCGGCCCGACCGGATCGCGATCACCGCCTTGCTCAGCGCATGTGCCACTGGGCTGAGTCCGGCGGTGCAGCTGAGTCGTGCAGTTCTTATGCAGAGTGTGGAACTGTTGAAAAGCTTGGGATGAAAAAGGCCCCAGGCCGTCATGTTTTTTGGGACCGTTTTTTGGAGTCAGTTACCTGTGGGAGTGCCACAGGTCAAGCACAATTGTTTGGCAGGTCAAAAAATCATCTTCTATACATGTTTTTACTTTTTTCTCCTGTGTGTGTGTGCTTTGTGCCCGTTCACTTGTCCTGAACCCGGACATGAAGAGCATATGCCCGGCCCTTCGGACCAGCCCTTCGGAACGGGGCTATTTGTGCATGTTTGACTGTTTCGTCCAAGAATCTCACAGAAGTTCCTTAATCTCCCGCAATCATGCCCTCTTTTGACTGGCAGCGACACCAAATAGCATGATGAGGTGCGGTGCGCTTAGAAGCGCTCTCAAGTGGGTTCTGCTAGCAAACAACGAAATAGTTGCAAATGATTTGCAAATGGTTGTTCAATGCCCTGTCTCGGATTTGATCCATTTGCTTGTAAGGACAAGGGTGGTCAATGGGCCTTGGTTTTGGAGCTCCTTGAAGATGGAGACTCCTTAGACACGACCAGCCTGAGCATTGCAATGAATGCCTTGACACATCACGGGCAGTGGCAGCGTGCATGCAATTTGTTTCACCAGGCACAAAGACTTTAGGGTGCATATCTTTTTTGTTTCTCTCTGGAATTCTCATAGTTGCTTGTCAGATCTTGTCAGAGAGAAGGCAGTGTTTTCTCGCGGAGTGAAGGTGCCATCAAACACTTGGAGCATTTGTTTCGCCTGACCTGTTTGCTTCGAAAACACTAGTTGTTCAGCCTGGTCAGGCGAAGGATCTGGACCGTGACCTCCGCTCCTATACTGCTTTGGTGCATGCGTGCGGCGAGGGTGCCCAATGGGAATCTGCATGTGGGTTACTTGCCGCTTGGGCCCAAGGCCTTCCGAGCGGTTGGGTCACGGTCTGGGACAGTTCAGTTCGACTCGCGTGTTGGGTAAGAGCCTCAGCCTCATGGGGAATGGTAATTAGCGAGATAGTAGGTAATTAGCTGCCCCATCCTGCCCCGAGAATCCCAAGATCATAACCACCCAGCAAGCTGTGACAGCTCGAGGGACGTCGAGGGAACTGTCAAAAACCGCCCAGCTCTTGGGAGGGAACTTATCCACATGTTTTGGAGATTCCATTTCATATTTAGTGGTGATTAATGGTGGTGACCGGTCCAAACACTTTTCGCTTCAGGAAGAGGTATCAATGCCAGATACCGTGATGTTTAATGCTGTGATTGCTGCCTGCAGCTGGGATGTTGCAATTGGAGACTCTCTTGCAATCACGATGCGTTCGATGGTAATGCAAAAATCACTCAAATGCGTTCGGTTCATTCGAGTGATTAGCGACCGTGGTGCGAACGAGAAGCGACAGAGGTCAGTGGGCTCTTATGGTGAGGCATCCGGTTTTAGAAGGGGATGCATTCTTTTCCTGGATGCATCTGTGTCAAAAATGATGGCTTGGACAGACGGACATGCAAAACTCTGAAGATATCTATTTATGATGTGTTGGGTTGGAGTATCTCTGACATATTCATGTCATAAAAGGAAATCCATTCAAGGATATTCAAGGTATCTTTCAGATTCGGTGTTTGTGTGTGTGTGTGTCTGTGTGCCTGTGTGTTTCTGTGTGCGTGTTGTGTGTGTGTGTTGTGTGTGTGTGTGTGTTGTGTGTGTGTGTGTTGTGTGTGTTGTGTGTGTGTGTTGTGTGTGCTTTTTTTTTGTGTGTGTGTGTGTGTCTGTTGAGTGTGTGTGTGTGTATGTGTTGGGGGGGGAGTGTGAATGTGCTTCACTTTCACTTCACCACGAGAGTGGCGACATCGAGGCAATGAGCTTCCAAGCTATGAAGAAGGATCATTGACTCAGTCAACACAATGATCTAATTACTTTCACCCTGATTTTTAAACATCCAAAAGAGACTGCTTTTATAAAGCACGGAATTGTGTGATTTTGGTTGGGGCATGGTGGGATAACCACGGACATCCAGTCCCAACCGGATGCCTGTTTTGCTTTGCGGTTCCAGTTCCGACGGCCCGTCTCATGTCTAAGGACTGATCCAGAAGATGAAGGCAGTCTTTCGGTGGACGATGAGCGGATTTCTAAGGTTAGGAACATGCATCTTGGGGGGGGCATAGGTTCCATTTGCAGGTGTTTTGGGAGACCAGCAGGGGTCACTATAATTGCTTTAGGGCTTTAGGCCAAGTTTCAGGCTAGTGATGCCTTTTCGCCTGGTGTTCAGTCATCATTCCGTGTCCTGCGCACGTGCCAAGGTTGGGTGCAAGATGAATTGTTTGACCTTCGGAGCCCTGACCTCTTCCGCGGCTTCCTCAAAGCAGTGGCGTGGTTTAGAAGTGGTCTGTGTTTTTCAAAATGTTGTTTGATGCTTTTTGGGCGTGCTCCGCTCGTCAGAGCTTGTCTCAAATGCATGCAGGAGGCTGGATTATTTTTGATGCATGGAAATATGATGAACTGCCCAACTTCAAGTCTGTCACAGATGTCTTCATGGGAAGCCTTCACATGACTGCAAAACACCTTATCGTGTTTATCCTGCTCAGGGGGCTGCGTTCCCAGGTCTCAGGGCCCCAGGCTGTGGAGTTCCGGTAGCTCTGTCAGGTTCACGGGTTCTGTGGAGAATGGGCTCCCAAAGGCGGTTGGAAGCACTCTGAACTTTCAGGTGGACTGTGGCCTTGTCGACTCTATTGGAGATGCATTCCAAAGGAATCGAAGCTGATTTCATGTCTCTTGGCGCAAGAGGTGGATCCGACCCAAAAGGGGTTGATCCGACGCGAGGTTTCTTGGGCGGCCTGAGGCGGTGGTGGTCCAGGGATGGGTCCAAAACCTGGAACCCTGCTCCATGTAGCTTGACCTCGAAGGTCAACCAAAGTATCCTGGTTCTGACCCCCAGCCATATGTAAGAATTGAGAAACCACAACAGTTTCACTTTCTGGGGACACTTGAACAATGAGGTGACACAAACCATGAGGACTTGAGGACGCCATAATCCAGTGCATGTTTTGCTTCCTCCGCATTCCAAATAGACATGGCCACCTGATTTGGTTGTTTCTTTGGTGGTGCATTCGGATATTTGGGGCTCTTCCAAGAGAGGTTGAACAGCCTTATAGCCCATCCCATACGTACCACTATGGGGTCCTATAAGGTCTCTCAACCTCTCTTGGTTTGACCATGTATGTGGACAACTAGACCCAGTCAGTGGACAACTAGACCCGCCGGCGAAGGGTTTCGCCAACCATCCAACAGGTGGGTCTCCACCGGAATGCTGACAGGTTAGCTGTTCCGGCTCTCCATTCCGCCCACCCCGGACCCAACACGACATGTTCGCGGACCATGGGCTCTTTCAGGGGGTCAGACATGTTGGGTCTTTGGACCAATTTTGGAGAGATGGTCTCCACGTCTCCCAACGCAAAGCTCTACTCGCTGTCTTCGCAGCCTGCTCAGCTCGCGGCAGCAGCTTGCTCAGCTTGCTTTTGGGTCCTTTTGTGTCCACACCTGTGCACGACATGGGAGTCATCTCTCCCAAGTTCTGCGTTTTTGGACCTTCCGAACCTGGCGGGATCGAAGAAGTTGGGTCACTTCCAGTTGAGTCGCAGGTGGTCGACTCGAAGTCCCCCAGAGAACCGGAGAACCGGCGGGATGGGAACGCCTTCGAGGCTAGGGCTCGGTGGATCGGAGGAGTTGCCTTCGGAAGGAGGTCACATTACTTCATAAGTACTTGCTCCATCTTGCTCCTCTTGAGGGGTCCACTAAGGGTTTGGGTTTAAACAAAGGGTGGGAGGGTTAGAAGAGCAAGGATTCTCACATATTCTCACAGCCTTCTGAGACCTAGTCCGAGACCTATCGAAGCAGAAACACACGGTTTGCCTGTTTAAATCCCTGGTGAAAGAACTTGTTGCCAAACATCTTCTGACTACAAGTGGTTTCTAGATGGCACTGGCGCCCCAAGATGTTCTTTTATAATATGAGGGTCCTGATAAACCACCGAACTTGGGGTAACTTGTGCCATCGAACCTCTGAAACCATTCTGAAACCGAACCGTCTCACCACCGTCTAGGACCGACCGCCTGGCTGAGCCCCATCGGCTTCATCGTCGATCGGTGTGAGGTGGAAGAAGACGATGGCGAGCTTTGACACTGGGTCCGAGCAAGTGAGACATCGTTCGAACTTGGTGACCAAGAGAGGTTGAGAGACCTGAACGTTCGGACCCTGGTCTGTGGTACATATGGGATGGACCTCTCTTGGGATGTGAACGATTGATTTTTTTGATGGGGTATGTTGAATCCTCATGGAGCGTAGAAACCAGCTTGATGGAACGTTCAGGCAGGCCAAGATGGAGCGATGAATGGTCGTTGGTGGGAAAACTATAGTGATCCTTAGTGTTGAGATGGTTCTTCGAACACCTGCAGCATGCCTGACAACTCTCAGAGCCTTATCAGGGAAGACACTGACCACCTCAAGCCCCTAACACCACCAGTGCCAGCAACAGACCCATGGGGAAGATATGCTTAGCTGTTTGACTGAGGTAAACATCAGATATGTGTGAGCTTCTCCTACGCAGCAAGCATAAGATCCCATTCCTGGAGGGGGTGTCGAGCTAACTCGAAACTCCGGAGCTTCTTCCAGCATCACTTCCTCGTCTCCGGACTCAATCGCTTAGCTGTAAAGATGACGCTGTTCATGAACAGGGACGGTTGTCCTCACCAGCGCCCCAAATATTGGACGATCTGAGGACTCCTCAACCTGGCCAAAAGCTTTGAAGTTGTTGCCTTTGGCTGAAAGCTACGGCACGGAGGGCGTGCAATGGCTCTCATCCCATGTCCAGGTTCGGACATGCATGGAGGGCGTGCATGTGCCGCTTGAGGAGGATGGAAGGTCAAGCATTGGCCCCAAATCGATCCGGGAAAGTCTGCTTCCAAGAGTCACAAAAGGGAGCTTTTTAGTCCCTAAGTGAGTGGATCATGGGCACCCATATCCTCCATTAGGCACCCCTTTGTGACTGCTGGTTGGAGTAGATGTTTTACTTTGACATGGAACATCCAGACTCAGACCTGGATACACCCAAGAAGATCAATATGACACCTGATGTCATGCACCTTTGAAAGACTAGCTTCCTCCACAAACCAGTGGTTTTCAGGTTCCATGTCATAATCTTCCAGTATGTAGACCTGGGTCATCCAAAGACTTTGATGGCAGCAGGTTCCAATCCTTGGTCCCTTTGACACCATGTGGAGATCCAAGCGCCTGTTCATGCCTGTTGCAGCCTTGCCCTTGACAGCATGTCGCTTAAAGATGCTTAAAGTGAACTGAGAGGTTTTGAGATTGCAGATCTTTCATGATTTTTCTCCCAATTGCACTGGCCTCAAATCATCTCAAATCAACATATGTCTTGTGAAAATGGAGAAACAACTCAGACTTCTTTGAGGGAGACGAATTCCTTCTTAGACTCCTCTCCCGCTTTGACTCCTTCTTCGACTCGACCCTCCGCAGGCTTTGGAGTCGGCGGGACGGAGGTTGCCTTGGGAAAAGGCCTTAGCCTTTCTGGAGGAGCCGGCGACTTGGGGGTCGCCTCTTGGAAGAAAGAGCTTTCAGTTTTTTCTTGAGCTTTCGTGCTTTATTTGTTGGTGGAGCATTGTATGTGTATAGAGACCTTCAACTACTTATATGTTGCTTTTTTTCAAGACAAGTCACATTTCTGCCTCCACTGGTTGACCAGGTATTTTCACACGGTGGGCCGAGTGGATGCCAGGTTTAAGACCACATGTAAGGCACACGAGAGGTAGAAGGTAGCCAGGGTGCCTAGCCTGCCTGGTCGGGTGGAGCTTGGCTCCTTTAGGTTTTTCGCAGATGTGCTACTATTCAACTTGAGAAACTGCAAGATCTTATCATAAAATCACACAATCTTCAAATTCAATGATGCTCAGTAAATTGAGACGAAACCAACATGCCGACTGCCCACTGGTGCACTGTAGCCGACATCCAACGTTTGGGGTGTTTCCGGGGTGCAGAAGTCGGTGCGCATGCTGGCCAGTCATGTCCGCTCGAGGCTACCCTTATCTTGGTTTCACATTTACCCAAGGTGAAAAAGTGATGCCAGTCATGGCTCACTTGCTGCCAATTAGTGAACAACAAGTTGCTTCCTCCCTTAGAGTGGTTCGCCTTGGTGCATGATGATCCCATCATTATTCTGAGTCTTACTTATCAGTTGAGGGAGCCGAACAGATCCGCACAGCGTGTAGAGCAAGCATTCTTCCAGGACCCATCAGTTCATACGATTTCTCGAGTGTTTGACGTCCATGTTTCCTGGGGGGGAACTTGAGATTCTGTTGACACAGCTATTTTTAAGACGGTCACTTTGCGGCTCAGGTTGTTTAAGACATTTGAATACTTCCCAGACGATCCGTGTAAGCACATATGGCCTACATTTGGTGGCTTTTGGTGGTGAGCGTGGATAACTTTTGCTTAAATGGATCCTTGGGGCTTGTGGGAGTTTGCAAAGCAGTGAGGTCGCTTCCTAGCTTGGAGGCCTTCAATGCTGTGATTCATCTCTTCGAGAAGGCACTGAGTCGATTTTTCGCAGCGGGAATCAACCCAAAGAACTCATGTGAAAGAGGAGGTTTCTCCTGTCCCTAACAGCCTTTAACGCTTGAACATATCTATCTAAACTGTCTAAACTTCAGTGTACAACTATTCCAAAGTACAAACTAAAATAAAAAGTCTCAATAAAGGGCATGCACCCGAGCATCTCTCAGCTCGTGCACTGTGATAGTAGGCCTTTAATTGGAACAGATCATTGAACAAGTCTTCGCTCGGTTCTTCAAAGTGAGCCTTTAAGATCCTGGGTGGTTCGCCCGGTGTGTAAAAGGGTCACAGAGGAACCCTCCAAAGCTCATTTTGAAGAAGCTGGCACTTGTTCCCAGGATATGTTGCTTTCTTATGGATGTTCCCATGTCGTTCCTTTTTCAGGTCAGTGGCACCTGACGGATCATCTCTTTGCAGTGTTTGTTTGAACAAACGGATAACAGTGAACGAAACGACCCGTTGATTTCTTGGACGATTGTTACATCATATCATGTTACATATATATATATATGCAGTATATACACACCTCTTTTGGGGAAATCATGCAAGCTGCCGCACCCCAACAGTCTTCCAGGACCTTTGTTCCAGTCACTTCCATGTGTTTTTAAGTGAATTTCTGATCCACAAATCACTCGAGTCGAGTCCGAGTCGAATCGATTCTGATCCATTTGTACATCAGGAGACCCCAAGGAGTGGTGTTTAGGAGACCCGTCCTGGGGAGTGGAGAACCGAACCCCGCCTCAGGCTGGCGCTTGGGACGCAGCGCTCCGTGCGCCGGCGAACCAACCGGGTTGGGTCTTGGTGTGTTGGCCAGGGGATCCAGCCCCAGAATCGTCCAGAATCCCAAGATGTTCCAAAAGGAAGGTGTGAGTTTGGTGTCCAAAAGAGACGGAGTTTGTGTATTTTGTGGGGTTTGTAAAGATCTGAGGGTTGTTGTTTTTAGTGCATGTTGGTAGTGTGCTTTTGTTTTCTTTATATATATATATGGGTACCATTGGTCAAGGACACTATATATATATATATGTGCGGTTTAAACATAAATATGTATATATATATATATTATGGATATTCTCATGTTCACGTCCACTTCATGTAAGGAAGAGACTCGCTACTGCCCAAGCTGCCATTGGCATTTTGGGCTCCGGGAAACCTAGAAATGTGGACTTCACATCTTAGGATATAGATGTCCATGCAAATACTGGATATTCATACCACATGCATTTGTTTCTTGAACAAAGGATAAGATAAATGATAAATGATAGTTCCCCACCAGGAGTCAACTTTACAGTCCTCAACGGCGCAGTTTAAATAGACTTAAACTTAAACAGATCCCTTCTTTTCAGCATATACCACCCAAAGAATCAGGTCAAACTGACTGCTCTAGGCCATGCGGGAAGGACAGCTTCGCTCCTGCCGTAGAACTGCTTCTCCTCGCGGCCGTGCCAAGGAGCCTTCTCAACGATGCAGGACTTCTCGGTGGAGCCCAATCGAGTGCGGCGGGCCGTCGAGCTGACGTCCTCGCGAGCGACGTCGTGGACCCCTCGGAGAGGATGGTGGAATACGAGATCCAAGACATAGGACCATAAAAGACGGCAAAAGCGTGAGGGGTTGAGCAAAAACGTGCAAAAACGTGAGGTTGGTGCAAAAAGTGTGAGGGGGAACCAGCAAAGCAAGCACTGGTTGGCCGATGCTTGTATACTGCCGAGAGATGCCAAGACTAGATGGGCCTGTACTACAGAAAGGCAGTCATATCAGCAACATGCCTTGAGAGGTTGGCAATGGTTGGCAACAATCCTCAAGATGCTCGTTTTCCAGCTGGCGCCAAATGTCTCCACTCCCCACTCCCCACCATCCGTGAAAACCGCAGGTGAGTGTGAACAGTGTCATCAGCGCCTGTGAGAAGTCGCGACGTTGGCGTTGGGCTCTGAAGCTCCTTCAAGAGCTGCTGGAGCCTTGGAAGATCCAGTCGAGACGGACGGAGGTGTAGGATCCTGTTGAGATCGAATGGCAGGGGTGAAGGGTGTTGGCTCGATCCCGCTGCAGGAGGATGGCAATGCTGATGAGGTCTCCTACAATGCGGCCCTTTGGCAACAAAGTGGACTCTGCCCATCTCTCCGGCGGGTTCCTTTATGTGTTTGGGGCCGTGTGGCCCCACCAGGCAAGGAAGGCCTTTGGTGGGATTGATTTCGTGCATGGAGACTATCGGTGAGGATGCTACTGAAGCCACGATCAATTCCTTACGTTCCAGGGTTGCATTGTTGGTAGATGATGGTAGATGGACGGACCAAAAAACACTACAGTTGCCAGGGATTGTGGAGGACCTTTGCATCTTTTGCCAGAGCTGAGTTAAACTCACTCAGATGCCAGCAGTCAAAGCCTACTGAAAGCCTGGCAGAACCATTTTTTTCGGTTTTCTTGACCGCTTGAATCAACATGAGGAGACCAATCGCTCCGAGTCGCACAGTGCGGCGTCCTCGTCAGGCCATCAGTGCATTGGAAAAGTCTGGGCAGTGGCAGTACACCTTGCTGCCGGGCAGCAGGGAGCGGCAGGGCGCAGCAGGGTAGCTGAGTAGCATTGAGTAGCTATTTTAGCGGCAAAGAGGCGGGTAAGTTATAAACACCTCTTAGCACAGCTCTCACAGCATGTAAGTTTTGGTCGAAAACTGGATGCTTGCTTGTGTGTGCTTGACGTTCAGGGGGATGTGTCAATACACTGGCATTGTAGAAGCACTGGATAATGTTATTCGATAACATTCGATAACCACAATTCCCTGTCTTAAAAGACATAAGACATCCCTTTTGGGTGGTTTTACATGGTTTTACTGTTGATTGGAATGACACCATTTTGACACCTGCTCGCCACAGGCTTCTGTTGGAGCAAATGCTGTCACCCGACCAAAACGAGGTGTTGCCTGACCAGGCAGCTTGAAGCGAAGTTAGTGCCGTCGAGTCGGGCCGTTCACGTGCTTCCTAAACGACCGAAGCACTGGTAGTCATAGTCGGATCAATATTTTGTACTATACACTCCCAGACCATCCATGTATGGCCCAAATGGCCTATTGTCTAGATTAGGGTGGTTTCAGAGGTCAATATAGGCATATTTTCCATATATGGATGGTCTGGGAGTGGAAGGGGGGCGAGAATAGTATATTAATAATATGACGTGTGTGTGACTCCAATTCCAATTGACATATATGCAGTTTTATGATGTTATATATACAGTGAAATACACTATGTGTTTGCAATACTTAGTTCAATAAGGGATTGCTTCGTTGAAATGAGTTGCAGCTCTTTGATTAAACTCGGCATTCCAAAAATGAACAAACACTAGGTCTTGTTTTCTCTTAACAATGTTCACATATCACGTCGTTGTTTATAGGTGCTGGTTAGGTTAGACACAGCCAATCTGGAGTAACCCAAATAGAACAAACAAGTAGATAGTGTATGTATATGTATAATACCCCTTACGCATTGTATATATATACATACACATATTTGAGACTTTATAGCTGATTTCTATGATCTGAGCCGTACATGCTCCACTCGTCCTGGATCTCTACTTCTTGCCAGGTCAGCTTCAATGCTGCCATTGGCGCATGTGCCCCTTGGTTGGTGCTCGCATGACCAAGTTTTGGTTTGTTGACACGGCCGAACAAACTCATGACTTCTGAGTATCGGGCATTGGGCGACGCGTTGGGCGACGCGTGTAAAATCTTTCAGTTAGTTTTTCACAAACCTGGCTGTGAATCGAGTAAAGGAAGCGGTCATATAAATTTCCTTAAATTTCAATCAGCTTTTCGAGAGTTAGCTAGACATCATGGCTCAAACTTAAACCCAAAAGTGTGGGGCTACAACTGGCTAAATAGCGATCCATGGAATTCATCCGGCACTAGGCACCAGAGGCCTGATATCGACTCAAAGATATCACAGTTTGCAGTTCCCTGGTTCTAATCAGTTAATCAGTTTGCCTCTGCAGACCGACCCAATAGACTTGGTTGCCTACAAGCACTTCGAACCCAAAAGCGTTGCCATAGATTTGCACCCCTCGAGTGTTTAGGATGTCAGGTCCGGTGGGCTCAGACCTTACAGTAACTGCCACGTTTATGTTTTGGGAAGCACACATTTTTGTCCAATGAGAAGAGAGGCGTTCGAGAACGCGTGTTTGATTCTGAGAGTGAAGCAATGCACCAGAAAAACAATTGATCTTTCCCTAGTGTCATGCCCAAGCTAGACTTAGGCCCTCCAGCAGAGGGACTTGTTGTTTGAGTCCCCAGATTAGACTAGATCTCGTTTGTTGGTTTTTGGGTTACCATCAATCAAAAGTATAATGTTATTTATCAATTTGCATTCTCCCACTAAGGAGCAACCAAACAACACAACCTCTATCCATCTCGATACATTTGGCTCGGGGTGTAACAAGCAGTCTGATGGTTAGTGCACCCTAATCCTGGAAGGAGTTCTATATATGATACTGCATGTATTCTATATGTTGTTGCATGTATTCATTCGATTTCTGCGCAGCATCTATTTCTTTTTTGAGTACCCGGCTGAGCTCATGGTGCTCGTTTGGGAACCGCCCAGGCCAAGGAGGAACACTGGGAAGGCGCACTCTCGCTTTTCGCTCTTATGCAGAGCCACTTGGTTTCGTTGCCTTCCTGGGAACTTCCCAGACACAGCTCGGACCCGGGTTCGGTGGGACGGACGTGTGGCAATCCGGAGAGCAGCTCTCCCTTCCCAGAGATCCCTAGCCCTGAGCAAAAAAAAACAAAACTACTATATTTGTTGGGGTTCGATCGAAACCTCGGGTATTTTTGTGCAATCAACAATACTTTGGGTTTTTTCTTAAAACCTCGGGTCTTGTTTTTCTAACCCGTACTGAACCCATATTTCACTTAACCCGTACTAAACCCACACTTAACCAAATTTTAGTACTGGTTTGGACAAACTCGGGTTTCCTTCACAAACCCTAGGTTTCTCCATCAACCCTACAAATTTATAGGGTTTGGGCTTGTAGGGTAAGTATATACGGTACTGTGAAATACAGGTCCCTGAGCCCGTAAGCAATTCCAACTGCTCAATAAATGTTCATAATCAAAACAAATTATCCAGGTATCCCAAAAACATGCTGGCTATGTCAAAAGGTGACAGGAATCATTCTCACCATCAACCCTGATCAAGCCCACAATGTACGACCACATGTTTCCAGACCCCCTCAACACATCGTCTTGCAGGCCACAATTCAAAGACCTCCCAAAGAGCCCCTGGATGAACGAAAATAGACCAAACCCATCGGTTGGGTCTCCCTTTGAAAATGTACACCCACAATGTACGGGGTCGGGATTCCTACTTCTATGACGCCCGCACCCCTTGAAGGGTCAAGCGGCTGACCATCCATGGTTGAGGCCGACAGATTCAGGCGGATGAGATCACCTACAACTGCCTGGCTAGTGCCTGTGAAGCGGACCGATGGCAGTTCTCCCTGTTTTTCTTGTTGCTCCTTGGCGTCCTTGGCGTTCGAACATGCTTGCGAACAACGGGATTCGTCGTTCAACATGCCTCATGTGACTCATGTGATAAACTTGTCAAAATAGAATAACAATCAGGGGCTCATTGCTTCGACGTTGTTTGACTTCCTCACGGCTGGCCTTCCAAACTGGCGTTCGAAATATGGTGGTGTTTGACAACTTCTTGTGTTTGACCTGTGGCCAAAATCAGCTCCAAAATTAGGAGGCTGAAAGTCACCCAATTCGCCCGCCCCTCTCAGGAACTCGACGGGAGTGGAGCGAGTGGAGCGTGGCGAGCTGCCCACCCGGATCTCTCAGGCGCCCGACCGTCAGTGACGGCGGAAACCGCGGTCCCCGCGTTGCCCATCGGTGGAAGGGGACCTCCTGGAGGGCCCATCCGCATGAATGCGGGCCCATCAGCATCGGTTTTGGGTGGAGAGATGCGAGAGATGCTGCAAGGTGCTGGTTTGAACGTGAGCTGAGAATAATGGAGGATACAAAGGTTTAGCTGAGTGGAGAGAACCTGATGGTCTCCTCTGCAAGTTCAGAAGCAACCTCTTCTTCAGTTGAACATGGCAGAGGCAAAGACCGCCCAACCAACATGTTGTTCCCAGTTGGTTCTGTTTGGTACCGTTTCAACAATTCAGACCATCAATCCCTTGTAATTAGGTGTAATTAGTAACCTCCGACTTTGCTTTGACCATGCCGCAGATCCTTTGGCGCTGTGCCAAGTTGAAGCGCTTAGGCCATCCCAGCCAGGAGTGGTGTGTTTGCCGATGTTCATTCACGTTTGAAATGATATTGAAATGTTGGAAGCCGAGGAGACTCAACCGGTCTTCTTTATCATTGAAAGAGTCGGCTCTCAAGCGAACATCTGGCGCTCCTCCTCTTTGCGTCGCGTTTTCCCGCGGCAGGACGTGGCATCCCAAGCCGCAGAGCTGCTGAAGCTCGTGGATCCTGGAGACTTTCAACTCCAGGCCGCGTTCAACAGAACTGCGGGGTTCCGGTCAGTCGTCAGTGCTCGGCGGAGTGAAGCGGAGTGCTCCCCTATATGCAGGGTTTGGACCCTCCCCAAGGCATTAGAGAGTTCATTCCTTTGTGAAAAGGGCGCGGGTTGGCATCGGTAGAGATGCCCTGGAAGGGTTCGAAGTGTTTGGATCGGTTGGAGTAGTTGGACAGGGAAGATTTGTTCACAATCGATTGGCCAGTGACTTAGTGACCAAAAGGATCCAAAAGGTTCATCGATTGGCGTGAGTTCTTGACTCGTGGGGCTCCACCCACACAAGAGGTGCAGCAAAAAATAGCAATCGAAAGACCAGAACCCAACAGGCTCTTAAATGATTTTGGACCAAGCAGGTGGTATGCGGTGCAAAAGGGAGTGCTGGAGTTCGACAGACCGCGCGTGATTCCCGAACTCCACTCTCCCCTTCTCCGCATGCCTCGCAGGCCTTAGCATCTACCCTTTGGTCGCTCCGTTCAGCTCCCTGGACCGTTGCGCTCCGCAGCGAGCTACGCCGGCGCCTGCGCAGCGGCCCGCTGCGCGGGGCGCGCCAGGCACATGGGGAGCTGCGGCGCTTGGGGCTGAGGCACCTGGCCACCTTGGGACAAGTCTTGGCAGCAGCTGGGCTAGAACCAATTACATGATGAAACATGACCCATGAATTCTGGTACGGTCACACCAAGAATTTATCTTGGGTCCTTCTCACCAAGATTCCATTTCGGCGCTGGACTTTTGGGGGTCGGACGGATGCAAGGTTGGGTGACAGCGTGATTGATCTGGACACTAGAGCAAACACACCCAGATCAGCAGGTTCAAAGATCCAAATAGATGTTCTCCCAGAGACGCTCGGTCTGTTACAGCCCTTGGTTCAGCAGTGGGGTCTATATAACAAAATTACATGTGACTTGAGTGACTTGTGACTTGGTTGATCTTATTGTAGTGGTCGTGGGTGTTGCCCTGGGGTGCAACAATTTCGGAGTCAAGGAACCCGAATAGTTTCAGTGGGAGTGGAGAAAAGGGGTGCCGAATAGCTTGGTGGCATGGATGCAGCAGCAAGCATCTTGAGGGCCGCTTGTTCAAGCCCTTACAGCCACCAAAAGTGACCTGACTCACATGGCCATTGGAGTTCAGCACCTCCAGCATGGGGCATAGGGGCACCTAGGCAGAGCACGACACAAAGGCGGAGGAGTTGGATCTGCTGCGGAGGCTGAGCTGCAATGGGAGCAACAAAGGATTGAGCTTATTGGAACAAAGACACACCAGGTATATATTTGGGATATATTTGGATATGCGGCATAGTCCTATAAACTCCCTCAGCTGGTGTTGTTTCCTTCTCTTTATCCACTTCCGTTTGCTGGCATTGGTGACAGACACTTGGCTACGAGTCAAGCACTGAAACACTGACAAAACTTGAAATTGGTGCAAGCACGCCAATGGCGGCTACGTAGTGTTCAATTGGCAATAGTAAACCCATGAAAGAGAAACACGTACAACAAAATACTCAGCGTTGCCTCCTTAATTGAGAATTGCTGAGTGCTGAGTGGTACTGGTCAAGTCTTCTCAGCCCAGGAAAGAAATGGCATGGCGGATGGAGACCTTTCCCATGGAGTCCATGTCCGACGTGGTCTCTTGCCGAAGCAAACCAGCGACGTGCTCACACATTTGTACACAATGGACATTCATTTGTGATGACCTCATGTTTGATATGGTCTTGAGATCAATGGGGATGCATAGAAGAAGTGTGGTGTTTCAATTGTTGCAGCTGCTGTTCGTGTTGTTGCTGTTGTTGTTGTCGTCTCACAAAGGCAGGCAACACACTGGGCAACTCAAGAGAAGACTATTGCTGATTGGTGTTCCATCCAGTCCACCCTGGAGACCGACCACGCTCGTGGACGAACCACTCTCGCTCATTCGATGACATCAGGTCCGACGAGTAGTACGACGTTCATCTGTCGTGGACAGATGAAGAATAGTTTTGTGTACTGCAATGCATACTGATGCTTTTGCCATTCGTTTGCCACTTTGATGACATCCAAAGTGAGTGGATTGTTTGTTCGTTTGTTGACATTTGGGACTTGCTGCGGTTCTGTTCTTTGTGTTGTTTGATGTTCCATTGCGAGTCAAGTGAGGGGACATTCGAGTTTTGTTTGAATCCCGGTGTGGGATTTCGGATCACTTTTGATCCACAATTTACGCATAGTGTCTTTGCAAATAACAACTACCACACTGAGAATTTTTTTTCAAGAACCATCCGGCACTGCCAGCACCCATAGTCCAAATGCTATTAGAGGTGCTAGGTGTCTTCCTCATTGTTCCAAACACATATTTTCTTCTGTTAGTAACTGTTAGTAGAGGCTACCAGCAAATCTAGCAGCAGATGACATTTGCCCCTACTCCTCCAAGGCTAAACCTCCCCAGGCAGACTTGACCCAGTGTAAAGCGAACATCAGCGAACATTCTCTTCTTTTCGCTCTTCTGGTCTATCGAAACAGCATCCTTTCTTCCCTTCATTCTGTCACGAGCCAAAGAGAACCGTGTTCCCCCCAGCCCAAACCGTTCCTCCTCACCCGGCACCGATGCTCCGAAGCTTCCGACCGCCGTGCAACCGCCGTGCGACCGACACGATGTCCGCTGAGGCGCTCAAAGACTTGGCGACCGCCGCGCTGGCACTTCTCTACGCCACCGAGTGTGCTGTGTCCGGCGCCGTGTCCAGCGCCGTGTCCGGCGGACGGCTGCGGGTGGCCTTGAGTGGCCGGACTAAGACACGGGTGGCCAGAGCTGGGGGTGAGTGGACATGGAAGAACCATGAAGAAGCTTGGCCCAGCTTGGCCTCTTCACATGCACCATGAAGAACTGCAGGGGGCTCAGGGGCTTTTGACTGTTTGCTGTTGGCGGAAGACTCAAGCAAACCACGACTTTTTGGGGGATCCGATTCTGCTCAGATAACCGGGACAGACTCATCCGATCTGCGTCACCGGTATCACCATGTATCACCCATCCCGGACACTGGGCGACCTCATACCACCCGTGGAGACCCGGATGTGGAAAATCCAGGCTTTGGAGCACCCATGTTGTGGGCTTTGAAGCTTTTGCTTCGCAATTCAACACATCAGCTTGTAAACATATAAACAAGACAATCATAATTACAGACACATAATATGTAAATCATTGTAAATCCTGATTGAAATAATGAGTGTTGGTTCTTTCTGTCGGAGGTTATTTTTTTGTTCAGGAATTCAAGACTTGCTTGGATTCATGCGCCGGGATTGAGCTGTTTGGAACTCATCCGTCGCGACGGACCATATCATTCCATGGGACGTGTGTTCTGCTGTCTAGCAAATGGTGGCAAGCGGAACAATACCTGGATCATCCCTTCTGGATCTCCATGGGACACGGGATGGACATGCATGGAACCCCAAAGATTCAACGACAAGTATAATGATAATTAAGGGAACTCTAGTAGGAGCAAGGACGCTACTAGGGGCTCCTGGCATCGCTACTAGGAGCATGGACGCTACTAGGGGCTCCTGGCCTTACTACTAGGAGCAAGGGCATCGCTGGGGTTATTACACCATTGGATACGCACCAGTCGTGCCATGCAAAAACAACGACCAACGACCGCCGCTACACTCACCTCGCTGCCCGCTGCTGAGAGCGCCCTGCTCTTGCCACGCGGCCGTCGTGCCATGTTGCGGCTCGTTTGGGCCACCAGCGGAGATCCGGTTTGCACGTTGGATGCAGACGAGCTGCAGTGGCTGGAGGAGCACCACAACTCGGTGCGTGCGCCGCGGATTTGCAACGGGGGTTGGGCGGCAGCGAGCGTGGACTCGGGGGAGAGGAAGAAAGGGAGGCTGGGCTTCAATTGTTCTTTGGGAGGCCACTATGGGAGAGGAGAATTATCAGAACTGAGAAGAGAATTATCAGGTGTGGTTGAGTCAATGTTTGGATTCGCAAAGACCATGTACCAATTGGTGAGGTACCAGCTTGTGCAGCCTCCTAGGTCCTAGGTGTCTAAGGTGAATCATTGGTGCCCAGTTGTTCTGAACGCAAAGGGGCCTCATCCCCAGTTGCAGCCCGACCGACCCTTACGTTCCAATGACCGGCCACCTTTGACCACTACTTTTCGATCCTTCTGAAAGACCAAAGATGCCGTACACCCACGAAGCTTCGATTTCCCCACATCCTGCGCCAAGGCCCTGAAGGAGTTGCTTGCAAGCCCAACACGTCTTCATGTGACGCGCTTCCGGCTGCGCTTGATGCTGCAGGGCTGCTTTCAGGTGCGCAGGCCTAAAGACGATGTGTTCTTCAGGCCTATGCACAACTTGAATACCTTCCTTGAGATGATCATCCGAACTCACGGCACCATCCATGACCCTGATTCTGACTGTAACGGACCCATCGGTCTACGCATGTCTACACTAATAGGGGACGGACCTGGCCACCGCCCTTCGCACCAATTGCCCCCCGAAACCGTCAAACGCCTCCGTGAAACTGCCCTGGCGCTCTGCATGGCTTGAGCCATGGCTTGAGCCATGGCTCGATCCGTGGATCCATGAGGTTCTGTCGGATTCGGAGATTCTCAGTTTGCCACAGAACTTGGAATTGGTGCTCTTAGAACTTCTACCGCCCAAAGTCACGCGTTCCTCGGCACGAGGGTCACGTCGTTGTTGTTTGTTGTTGCGCGGTGCATGGATGGCGGCGGATGGCGGGTTATTTTTCGGGGGTGGTGGATGAAGTTCAGGAGATGGTTGCTTTTGAACTGCTCGATAATTTGTAAAAGGCCATTCTTGCATTCCATGTCGGCAAGTGGGATGGGCCTAAGCCTAAGCCAGCCAGGCAACTGTTGGCGGTAAACTCTTAGCTGAGAGCTATTTCGTTCTGATCGACTGGTCGCGTACAGGAGGTGTTTTGTTCAACAGTCATGAAGATGGGTGGGTCACCAAATGCAGTCAGGAATGAAGAGACTCCACTCAACCTGAGAAGTTGGAGAAGCTTTTGCTATCTTTGCTATTAGGCTCGGTTTCCCCAGCAACCAGCTTCCGGTGATGATCACACCACCGCGCTGCTGATGGTGACCCTTCTGTTCACTTTGCGATTGTTGACTGACCCACAAGCATTGCAAAGTCATGCTATGGGCTGTTTTAATGCTGCACAGGAAAGTTGGTATTAATCACACACACACGACTGGATGCTTGTGAGCTCCTTAAATGGGATCGGATTTAAAAACAGCATTGATGTCATCCAAGGGTTTATGGGATGCACACTTTCTTGATTTGAGGGCCTTCCTTTGCTGAGCAAATGATCCTTTATTCTTCTGCAGCTAGAATCCCAAACCCACGTGTACCACCGTATACCAAGCTTACTAGCAGACTGCAGAATACCACAGAAAACCACCGCCAAGTGTGCTTTTTGAACAGATCTAATCTGACCCCTTGGCTCCAGCATCGAGACCTCCGCCTTAAGCACCTTTCATGCAGGGCCCCTGGCACCGAATCTGAACCACCAGCGGAATCTATTGGGTCCGACACCATTCATGTAAATGGGGCCCAGTAACTTCACTATCCCACGTGATCCTGAAAAACATAAACATATATATATATATAACTTGCTCCATACTATTCCATCTATGACTTGGATGGTCGCCCACTGGTGGGTCCCAGACACCGTGTCGCCCAGTCGAGTCGAAACGGTGATTCGTCCCAGCACGACGCCGAGACACCGAGCGGCTGATCGGCGCCTGTATGCAGAACCGCGTGCACCGGGTGGAGACGTTGCTGCAACTGCCTCAAGAGCCTCAGCCTGCACGAGCACCCTGAAGACATGGACGTGGACTCGTGGAGCCCCCAAACAGTCCACGATTGGATATCTATGGATCATGTGGTGTTTTTCCCCAAACACTGCGGCTGGATCGAGTTGTGACCACCGAACCGCGCCAGTTCCGGTTACTAGCTCCGCTCCCGCGTCAGGGCGACTTCAGGGCCGAACGACCGGCACGTCGCGGGCCGAACGACCGGCACGTCGCGGGCCGAACGACCGGGACGACGTCGCGGGTCGGAACGAACGGCGGTCCGATCCCCGAGGATCCCAATGACCAGGACGAGGAAGGACGAAGGCCCTTGCACTTTGCGGCAGCGGCGGGACACGTGCGCTGTGCCACTCGGAAGCGAGGACCGACGTTCTTTGTTGGGGGGGGGGCATAAAAACAGATCTATCGAAGACCTGCCAACCTTTGGTGATCTTAGTCGTTTCGTCCGCCAGTGATTCACGTTTGGATTCACTGAGTCACCAGTTTCGAGTTGGAAGTTGCGATTGGTGGCATATTCCCATCACCACCGAAGCATCTCAGGTGAACCTCCTTTTGGAGGCTAAGGCATCTCAAGAGCCTGCCAGTGACAACTTGGGGCGTGCCTGCCCTTTGCACTTCGCTGCGGGCCAGGGACACTTGGAGGTGGTGCCCCGTTTAGCTTGCATCGCAGGTTTTTCAGAGTTTTCCAAGAACCCTACAGGAGTTGAATCACCCCCCACCTGCAGCTCTAGAGTTTACTGGATAGGCGTTTTCTTTTTTTCATGCTTTTGTTGCTTTTATGTTTTTGCTGTTTTTTCTGCTTTTGTTGCTTTTATGTTTTTGCTGCTTTTTTGCTTCTGTTGCTTTTGTGCTTCTGCTGCTGTTCTGTTTGTTTTTGCTTTTCTGCTTTTTGTGCATGTTTCTTTCTTTCTGCTCTTTGCTTTTGTTGCTTTTCTGCTTTTGCAGCTGTTCTCCTTTATCTTTTTGTTTTTGCTTTTCCATTTGTTTGCTTTCTAACCTTTGGATTTGGTGTGCTGCTGGGGGGCCGCTGCGCCCCAACCCCACCCCCCCCCCCCGCGCCACGAAATCTGCGCTTCGTCTCCGACACCCGCGCCTGCCATGAAATCAATATTTTAAGGTGAACTCCCCGTGGCAAAAACTTCTAATCAATCATATGCCTCCTGTGCTATAGTTCTCTTTCTCTTTACTGTTTCTCTGCGAACTGCACCAAACTGTTGTGATAGGTAGGAATTTCTCTGACACCTACACTATTCCAATGTATTTTGCCAGCTACGACAGCTCCCGGATTAGTCTAATCAGCTAGCAATTAATATGAAACCTGCATGCACTATTCCAATGTATTTGGCCAGCTACGACACTTGTGTCTCTGCTAAGGACACAAAATTGCTGTAATTAGCCTTCTCTATTCCAATGTGTTTGAAAAAAACGAAAAAAAATGCAAAAAACAACAAAATTAAAAGTTGGTGGGCCAGTCAGTCTCTTTTTCACTCCACTTCAAACCAATGGACAGTTACCAGCGGTTGCGGTCCTCGGGTATTTCTGGGCGAAGCTCACCCGCCGTTGTGGTGTTTGCCGCTCACACCAGGTACGTGTCTTGCTAGCTGCAGGTGCTGAGAAGGACCAGGCATGGAGTTCAACATGAGGGTCAACAGTTCAACACGTTGGACCAGGCGTTGGAACAGAACGCGAATCATCCAGAATCCCCCAGAACTGGTCCTCGAACTTCTGTTTTTAAATTGACCTTGGAAGACATGTTTTGCTGCAGGATCCAGCCGCATTCTAGTTCCATGTTGTTCTCTGATGTTATTTTTAAGAGCAGAGATCCCGTGAGGAGACAGACGAGGGAGCAACTCCCTTGCATGTGGCATGTGAAGAGGGCTATGCAGATGTGGTGCGGCATTTGATTGAGTGCGGTGCTGACAAGGACAAAGCAAGGAGCGACGATGGTGCAACACCTTTGCTGTTGGCCTCACTGGAAGGTCATTTGGAGGTGGTTCGCACCTTGCTGGAGGCTTCCAGTGGGCACAAAAAGAAGTTGAGAAGCCCTTTTCAGCATGTACAAGACCAAACAGATTGCTGCGCAGTGTATACACGTGTTTTCTTTCTTTGATGTTCCCGTTGGAGTCCATCTCTCGATCTTCTCAGTACTTCCTCCGCCCGTCCACGCGGACTTGGTCGGTTTTCGCTGTTCAGCGAACCCTCCGCGTTCCAGGTGGACGTGGACAAGGAGAAGGCCACCAGCGACACGGGCACCACACCGTTACACGAGGCCGTGAGACACAACCGTCGCGAGGTCATGCAGCTGTTGCTGGAACGTCGTGCTGATGCTGAGCCTGAGCCGAACCATCGGGGGGACGGACGGCTCCCTCCAACGTGGCTTGAAAAAGCACCCGAAAGCGTCCAAACGCTCATTTTGCTCTAGAAGAACAAAAGAATCATAGTCGCCCTTTGTGAAAGGTGGATACATGCAGTATATAGTTGTTTCATGTTGTTTCGCCCCCCACCTGAATCAAGCGTCTTTTGAACAGGGTTTACTGCATTGGTAAGTGGCTTCACTTTGGATTTGTGATTCTTTTGCGAAGGTTTTGGGAGAGGTATTCGCAGATTCCATACCAAAATAGACGACGTATATCCAGAAGACCTCTAAAGGTGGGTTTTGTGCTGGTGCACAATGGCCAAAGTTTTGCGTACACATAATATTGTTATATTCATAATTATTCCATGGAAGTTCACGCTAGAGAGATGATACCTTTGTAGTCACTCCACATGCCCTTTGAGATGGTGCTTGGGGGGGTCGGGTCGTGTTCCACACAGAGTGATGCGCCTGGGTTGGGTGGACCGTCGTACCTTCGGTCTCAGCCGTCTCATCTTGGCTATGGCAGTCTGCGATGCTGAGGACCGCATGACGATGCAACATGGCCTAACACCTTTGCACATTGCAGTGCAGGAAGGACATCATGAAGGCATTGGTCTTCTGCTGGACTTTGGTGCGGAGAAAGACAAGCCTTGCAGGGACACTTTGGCCCGGCTTGCTTGATGCCAGGTGTTCTTTTTTGCGTGGGTGGTCTTCCAGAGCCCATCAGTGGGTCTTGCAGAGTCAAGCAGAGTACAGCTTGACTCGGGACAGAAAGAACCAAGTAGACCCTAGAAGTCCAAAGACTATATGTTGACCAGCTGAAGTAGAGGAAGTTCCCTTTCAGGTCCCCTAAAGACCATTCTTTTTATAGTTTTTGGTTGGCTCACAGGGTATAGAGGATCTGGGGATCTCGGGGACGTGGCTCCTTCGGCACAGTGGGAAAGCACGGTCACGCAGCAACAGCGAGCTCCAAAATCATGTTTTTTGCGTGCTTGGTCCCCATCAAAAGCACTATCAAGACGCTTGATGGCGGGTGGTACAAAGTACAAAGGTTATGGCTGATCAAACGGTTCCCAACCTGATTTCATGGCGGATAGCGCAAGCCAGGGGGTTCAAGGGTTTGCAGTTGTCGCATGGTCTCGTCTTTGTGCATGAATTGTGGATGCCCCCCTGGCTTTGCTGACTGCCAGGATGTGGGTGCTCCCCCTCTCCTCCATGCTGTGGCTTTGAACCAGCTTCCGATCGTTAAAGTCTTGCTGGAGAGAAGGGCCCAGATAGACAAGTCCGCTGAAAACGTGGGTCACTCGGTATGATTTGTGGAAGGCTTCAAAGTAAAAAACCTATCCGATCAATGCGTGTCATGATTGAGGATAGCTGATTCAATGGTTTTCACCAAGTACGAACAAATATATTCACAAACAAAGGCACCAAATGTGCTTTTGTTTCAATAGAATAGAACTGAGCGGCTCATCTCCTGCAGAGACGGTCCATATCGACGGTCCTTCTATATGCATGGGGTTTGGGGGGACTTGAAGAGACAGACCTTTGGAGCTAAGTGCCCAAGACATGTTGAAAGGACATATATATATATATATATGGGTGTCAATATATTCTTACATATATACACTGTATTTACATATATGGTTCATATATGTATTCTGGTGTATTTATATATATTATATTTGGGGGTATATATATATATATACGGAACCACCACGTCCTGAGGCAGAAAGGTTCAAAAATGTCAAGCCGCGCAAGCGGAGAAAAGACCAAGTCTTTGAGAGATGTCCAGTGTTCCAAGAATAGGGAATGGCTGGAATGGATACTTCCCAATGGCCGTTGTAGCATGTGCTAAGACAGATTCAAGAGCTTTCCATCATCTTTGTTGGAAGACCCAAATTCGATGTCGTTGTCAGTCTCTTTGTGGACCCAACCAGGTATCGCGCCTTTGCATGTCGCAGCTGAGCGTGGCTCTGTGCCCATCACGCGTCTGTTGCTGGAGTTTGGTGCGGATCGGGATTCCAGTAGCGCAGCAGGTGAAGTGCCCTTGCACTTCGCTGCTTCGCAGGGACATCTGGAGGCTGCTCATGCCAGAAATAGATACACTACACATGTCACGGAATGGGTCAACCTCCCCCAAAATGCAGTTGGATCTAGATGAGGCTGAGTCTCTTTGGAGCGGACGTTCTGCATTTTTTCGGAGGCCATGGTTTGAGACATGTTCAAGACTTTTGTACCAACAGAACCCATGTTGGCCCCGTCGTTGATGTCGCTGAAAATGCATGGCCATGGCCCACAGTCTCACGGATCCCAGCCCGAGGTCTCACGGCTTTTGCTGGAAGCAGGTGCTCAGAAGGAGTCTGCCACCAGGGAGCTGGGGATCACTCCACTCCATCGAGCTGCTCAAGAAGGACACCTCGAGGTGGTACGTTTGCTGTTAAGCGCGGGAGCTGCCAAAGACAAAGCAATTCTATCAGATGGTGCAACGCCCTTGCTTTTTGCCGCTCACTTGGCGATTGGCTCTTTGTGATGATTCATGAAGTGGCGGAAAGGATTTTGAAGTTTTGATCCCCAAGCTGATCGAAAGTGGTTCCTCCAGTTGAAAGTGCATAGGTATGTAGCACTGGGATACCTGTTCATGCGCAGAGAAAAACGAAAACATCGCCTGTAAGGCAGCCATCCGCGGGCACATGGAGGTCTGTCGCCTGTTGCTTGGAGCCAACGCTCCCATCGACCAAGCCACGAGCGATCGTGGGTCCACCCCTTTGCACATGGCAGCGCAGGAGGGACATGTGGAACTGGTCAGGTTCTTGGTGGCTTCCGGTGCTGACAAAGATCTGGCGCGGACCGACGATGGTACGACACCTTTGCTCTTGGGCGTTTTACAGGGCCACTTGGAGGTGGCGCGCGTCTTGCTCGAGTTGGGTGTGGAGACGGACAAGGCCACGACAGATGTGGCTTGGACAGTGGGTATACACTCGTTCTTGACATGATTTGACCCATAATATATTTATATATATATATAATATATAAATCCTTTGTTTGTATATGTAGCCTTAAGCCATGTCATAGAAAAGAACAATTTAATGTTCCAGATATTATTCAACGGTTTTTATCCTGAGAAGTTTTGGAGTACAAAACAACAGGTTGGGTTCTTTTGTTCAAAGAAGTCCCGGCGACGGACTGTTTAGTGGGGATGAAACTGTTTAGAACTCCATAACTCAGGATGGAACCACAGCTTTGCATTTGGCTGTTCGGCAATATGATCTGCACATGGTCCAACTCTTATTGGACTTCGGTGCCCGGCCAGATGTGACTAATGCGTTGGGCGATCGGCCTCTTGATGTGGCTCTACGGTATGAGGATCAGGACATGGTGTCTGAACTGCAGCAAGCAGCTGAATTTGTTCCAGGATCATCCACTTCGAGCTGCCTCATGTTGGCCTGTAATCTATTATATCTTTAGGTTATTCCATCGGACATCACTGGATATCACTTGGAAAGACCTGGTTCCGCAAACTAGAGGGCATTTGCTATAAGAATCAAGTATATGTTCTTTTTAGTTTAGTTTTCAGGTTTTGTTCTAAACGTGGGACAAAATGGACTCGTCGGATGAGGATGGCTGGATTCAGGATGACAGTTTCTTCCAACACCGAAATCGGAATGAGCAATTGAGCCGGGGAAAGTTGGGTTTGACGGATCACATCCAGGTCTTGTTGTCGCAGTGGACATGTCCTTGTAATTTGCACGCAAAAGCCAATAGATATAGTATTAATACAATTTCCATAGATATAGTAATTAGACATCAATCAGAATATCATAGACTTGGTTCTTCAAAAACACCTATACCTTTGCCTCAAAACAGGATACATCCCAGACCAGCCAGCTTGCATGTAAACTGGTCCTTACGGTCCTCCACCACGGAGCAGACTGCTCCGGTCCGCCGGGTCAGGTGGATCTGCTCAGCTCGTCCGTCCACCCGAAGCGACGCAAGTTGTGCCCACGCTCGACCGGTTTCTCTGTGGGTCCGAGCGGAGAAAAAGAAGGGCGGTGGCTTGTGTTCGTTGTGACCGGTGACTGAGCGATGCAGATTCCGGGTTCCAAGTGAAAGACGAAACAAAACCGGTGATGACGCCAGGGGTCCATGGTCAATGTTCCACTTGATACTTGATTGTGAGGGAGGATATAAAAAAACAGGCGCTTTATTCTTAGAACGCCCCCATCGACATCGATTGGAGCCACCTCTTCAACAGACCGAATCCAGGAGGTGGATAACGCTGGTCCACGAGGTCCGAACGGCTGTCCGTCGAAATTCATGTGGGGGGTTGAAATACAATCAAGAGTCCACATGACTCTTCCTATTTTCTCGTTGCTCTCCCATACTAATATTCTCTTATATATGAAGATCACGAGCACTTGTTCTCTCCTAGGCCGCTTGGGCCAGCTGCTGGACCAGCGTGCTGCCACCACTGCCCAACCCGCGCCAATGCTCAGTGCGGCATCCTCGCCCTCTTCTGCAGGGATGCTGGGGGCGTTAGCACCACAGGTCCTATGGTCGCTGGGACAAAGAAGACAGATGTTCCTGCGGACAACATGATGGAGTTTGATGGAGGATCAACGATTCATGTTCGAAGTTGGTTTTTGGGGGCGTGCAGGTGGGCTTGTGGAGAGTAAATGTATCAATTTATATATGAAACATGTACTATATATAACTTGAACGGGCCCCAGTGGCCCAGTGTAATGAAATGCAAATAACTTGCAGGTGTTGTTTCGGTGTTCTCTTTGGACTGTGTCGAAAATATAAAATTTCTTCCAATGGGGCGAATTAATCGCCCGGGCCCAGGCAAATACACCACTGGTCATTATACAATATATATATATATATATACACCACTGGTCATTAATTATATATATATATATATCAATAGAGATGAGCATGGACCAAAAATGACTGGGACTACATTTTTTCGCTCAACTGTCCTCAACAGTTTGGGGCCTATGGGGTTAAGCAGTTTGAAGTAGTAGTAGTAGTAGTAGTAGTAGTAGTAGTAGTAGTAGTAGTAGTAGTAGTAGTAGTAGTAGTAGTAGTAG